TAATACCTCCCATTTATGGAGTGCCTGCTTCCCAGTTTGCAAAGCCCTTTCAGGCATTCTCCCCTATCCTCTAAAAATTGCTGTGTTGTAGGTCTACTATCAATGACACTGAAAAAGCTACGGGCAGGATGCACATATTTTCATCTTAATCAATACTGATATATTCCATTGGGGGAGCTAGACCAAGCTAAAATCTCACACACAGAAATAGTATGCAAGGCCAGGGAGTACAAAAGTAGCCCAAATAATTGTTAATTTTTTTAGGGTTAACATTTTTTCTCTCTCTCTCCTCTTTCTTCCCCTCTCCTCTCTATCACCTTTTAATCTTCTGACTGATTCAAAATAGGACAATTGAAATTTCTTGCCTCCATAGGGAAGAACTCTATGTAAATACACATAAATGGTGCATATCAGGTGCATCATTCTTAAAGTGACATTCATTTTCGCCACACTTTTAGGCGAAACCATTTCATCTCACAAGTCGAGGGTGTGTATGTGTATGCGTGTAAGAGGATGACGTGACACTTTTGAGGTTTATTTAAGTTGTTAAGGATCTCGAGGTTACAAGAATTAGACTGTTACCGTCCTTGTTCTCCAGAGACATGAAATCTACAATTTTCTCGGTCCAACTGTCAGACAAATTGGTGAGTCGACTAAAAGGATAATATTTCCTCAACGATGCATTCATTTGAAGCCCTGGCAACTGTATTAGACAGCAGCGAGTATTCGCCAGTCAGGCATGGCGCGGGGAAAGGGAACTCTGCAATTTAGAGTGACAGCTGATTTTTTCCCCATCCATCAAGTCGCCTCAAAATGTCACAATATTTACACCTCTTCCTTGGTGAATCCAGAGACAAGCAGACAGAAAGAAAGAAAGAAAAAAAAAATTTCCGACCGGTTCTTGATTGGGGAAAAGCAAGCGTTGCACCTTTAAATTCTGCCCATCCATTCCCCGTTCCTCCCCCTTCCCGGGATTTTGCAATAAATCGCCCCGTTCTGCGTTCAGCCCTGCAGATCCGTATTTAAAACAGCACCATCTGGGAAGGGTGGGTGGCGACGGTGATGCGGGCGCCTTGGAGTTCCTTTGCAGCACGCTTGGAATTGCATCAGACTGATCAGAAATCCCCCCGCCCCCAAGCCCAGCCCCTCCCGCCAAGCTCCCCTCCCTGCTCCTCCCCTCCCCTCCCTTCGCGTAGATATGACTGAGAAAACGACTGGATCTCGGAACAATCTGTGCCCCATTCGCTGCAGGCTTGCTCCGTAAACCCTGCCCTACGCTCTCTTTGTGTGCCGAACAGCCTATCACCGTCATCTGATCCTAGTGCCTGTTTTTTATTTTTTCCTCCTAAATTTCCACAGTATCCTCGCGTTGCCTATGAATCCATCCTTTCCACCTGCGCAGAGTTGGGTTCTTTCCTTCGTTCGCTAAAACAGTCGAGTCTTGAGTTTCAGAAATAGGTTTTTCCCAACGCTCTCCACACCCCCACCCCAAGCCTTTGCCTTTTAATTAAGGACTGATCCGGGGAGGAGTCCAGAACGACCAAGCCCTGGGGCGAAACTGCCACCGGACAAGCCTTCCTGGTCGGAACAAAGGGCCCGGGAAGCGGGTAGGGGTGAGGGTTCTAAGAGTATGGAGATGTTGGTGGCCCCAGCCCAGGGGCGCGCACGTCCCTGGGCTCCCCTAACAGAGCCAGGACAACGCAGCCGCGCGCTCCGGCCGCTCCAGGTTCCCCGGGGGCGCAGACGGGGGCGGGGGAGGTGGAACGGAAGGCTAGGCAGCTCCAAGCCTATTCCGTACCATCCGCCAGTGCTCCCCACCCCCCACCAGCCTCCCGGCTCACCCGGGTGGCGGCGGCGGCACCGCCGAGAACCGGCCGCCCTCCACCCGCGCCTCCGGACTCAGCCTCGCCCTGGCTGGGCTCTCTGCGCGCCCAGCTGATTGGTGGCTCTGTCCAGCCGCTGCGCGGAGCTACGAGTGTTCTTCTCCACCGCCTCCAGCCGCTCAGGTCCCCTCCCCCGGCCCGCTCCCTGGCTCTTTGGTCCAGAAAGGACCTTCTACTCCCAAGCGGAGGCCCCCCTTCCCCTGAGTTACCCTGACTGACTCGGACCTGGGCTCAGTGAGGCATCCGGCCCGGCGGGGGAGCGGAGCGCTGTCTCGGCGGCTCCCTTTCCCTTGAGAAAGCGGGAGCCCTCTAAGCCAGCGCCCGAAACTCGCGGGGAGGGAGGATAGAAGAAAAAAAAAAAAAAAAAAAAAAAAAAAAAAAAAAAAA